ACACCCGACATGAAGCCACATTGGCCCATATCCCAACCACTCGCCCACACTAGGTTGGGTTACCTAAACTTCCAATACTATTTGTATTGTATTTATATTTATATATATATATATATGTATATATATATATATATTAGGGCATTTAGAAAGGAAAAAAACGTGAAAAAAAAAATCTGATTTTGATTAAAGATAGAAAAAAAAAATTATACCTCACGCCATGACCAGGTCCACCAGTTCACTGCGGTAATGTTAACGTTGAACGTTTTGTCTCCAATGGATACACAATCATCACCTAAGAAAAAATCAAATCAATATATACATATATGGGCAGAGGGAACGGGGTTACATACCCCCATTTTGTAATTAACAATAATTAATTTTTTAATAAATTTTATAAAATTTCAACTTAAATTATAAAATACCCTGTTTTAAAATTAAATCTATCTTACTACTTCTCGGGCTATAAAATTTTTTTGATCCGCCATTGTATGTGCATGTGCATGTGCATGTGTGGGAAGAAGAAGACAGCTGTAGTTTATGTTTTGGTATCAGTTTAGTCGTTCCCATGAAGCGGGAACTCTCTGTTAACGTCGGTGATCCGTCACGATGAAGAAGTTAACTAAAATGTAATTTCCTGATCCGAAACCGACAGATGAACGAAATTCCGACCGACAAAAAAGTTAAAAGGGGCTTTATAAATCAAGAACAAGGCCAAAATCCACTAAATGTCTCTACATAAGAAAACGCATTAGTCAAAGAACTCAGCAGCAGAAAGGTGGGCAAAAACCTAAGGGAACCTGCTAAAGGACATCATCAAACCAGGACATGGCCCAGCCATGGCTACCACCATACACCATCCCTCTACACTCCACTAGTACTACTCGTTAGCAACTTTTCCCCGAGACCCGAGCTTGGCTGTAACTTGATCCTCCGACAAGGGCAGGTAGTATATCCTGGGTGTCGCCTTTGTCTTCCTGAACAGATCGTCCAGTGTCAGGATGGGCGGTTCTTGTTGGTCTGGAACAGGTGGAGGAGGTGGAGGCTGAAGCCGTTCTCTGGCTGGAGTTGGATTGAACAGAGGTGGTGGAGGCGGGAGAGCAGTCGGTGGCTGTGCCTTGGAGCCTTGTGGTTCGGGCTGGGAGGGACCGCCAGCAGCTGGTGTGGCTTGAGGCTGAGGAGGCTCGGCTTTAGCCCTCACTTCTTCCGGGTCCACAAACTCGGCTACCAGAAGGCGTCCCCCGTTAGGCGGCCATTGGAGGTTGTAAACAGCATTCCTAGTCGCCGTGGCCTCTTCAATCGAAGAATACTGCATTACAACATAGTTTAAAGCAGAGGGAAATTGTAATTCAAAGGGTCTGAAGAATTTTTATCGAGTGAAGAACCAAACAACAGAGAATAATTCGAGTTCGAGAAAAGAATGCCTTACTGATACATAGCAATGGGTCTTGATGTGATCCATCCAGAAACTGGCAACATTCCCAGTTTTGCCCAAAAGCTCTTGAACAGCTTTCAGTGTGAAAGGCCTAAGGAAACGATCAATCCTGAGCGAATTTGTGGGCTCCTTTTGAGGAGGAGGAACTGCCCAAATGAAATATGGACATGGATATATTAACGTTATAAACAACCGATAATGAATGGCTCGAATGAATAATGAACAGAGCCTACTCAGATTACTCACCCACACGTTCCTTGGCTCCATCCTCGCTAGTGGATGAATCGGGTATAGAGAAGTTTCGGTTCAAACCCGTAGACTTGGGAGTAGTGAGTACGCCATTAGAGATCCGTACTTCGGGAACTTTCATATTCTCAGAGTTCCATCTGCGCTGTCTCTTAACAGGATCACTATTTCCAACAGCTTCTTGATCTGTTATGAAATGGAAATAGAAGATAATTCACCATTTGTGACACATCAAACACGTTCTCAACGTAGTTTGCGAGATCCTCAATAACCATGTATAGAATCGTGACAGGAAAACAGAATTACTAATGGAAGCAAGAGAAGGAAAAAGTTTACCATTAACAGGAAGCTTTCTTTTCTCAGAAGTCACCACAGGTTGATTCTCACTTTCAGGGAGGTCACCGTTACCAGTAACTGGACCATTCCTCATAACGTCGAAAGGGGTTTCCACTTTAACAGCAGGCACTTCATTTTTCTCAATCTTATTCACCACTTCATCAGAATTATTTGACTCGGTTCCCTTTGTATCCGCCTCCTCCTCATCCATAGAATCATCGCCAGAATCTCTATCTAAATTCAACTTTTCTGAATATCCTGCATCGATATTTTCATTTCCCTTTGTCATATCAGCAGCATTTTCATCATTGCTGTCATCTGTCTTCGGCTCAAGTGGCTCCTCAACAGTACCAAACGATGATGGTTCCACAATCTCTTGTGACTTACTAACACTATGTTCTAATTTGACATCATCAGCAATTACGTTATCCTTCAGTTCGATTTTTTCATTATTTGACACAGAATCAGTAGAAAAACAAACAGATTTTACCGCAACGCCAGTAACAGGTGTGACCTCAGATACCTGGTTGATTGAAGCAGATGTAACATGCAAGTCATCTGTCAGCTTGGCCTTTACACATTCATTCTCTGTCTGAAGCTTAGAATCACCATCATCATCATCCAACCCGGTAATTATTTCCTTACTCTTCGAATCCATGAGAATATCACTAGACAAATCTTCAGCAACTACTTCAGCAGTTTCATCCTTCACATACCCTTCTAGGGTTTCCTGTTGCTTCGCATGAATAGGGGAACTGTCACGAAAACCTACATTTCTAACATCATCAACCTTCTCATTCTGGTCATCATCACCATTTTTAACCAAGTTATCCTCTACTTTAGCTTGCACTGGAGTTGTCTGAAGGGCAGCAGTCTCAACAAAAACTAGTTTTGTCTTGGGAGCTGCAACTGGAGTTGCTTCCCCTGAAACTGGAACAACTACTTCGCCAAGTTTTGGTGTCATTTCCACGCATCGATTGATTTCGTCAGCAGCACAAGGAACTATTTCAGCATTTTCTTTCTCGATACGAAGGGCTTCGTCCAGACGTTTAATCAAATCCACCTTCAAGCCTCCCGTTGTCAATTTCCGTCTTTTCAGCTCTTCTTTCAATTCAGTAACCTTCCACTTATCGATTGGTCGGTTGTCCAAAATGGGATAGGGAGACGACATCTTGGCTTAGGACTGGAACTGAAAACCTCAAGAAATCACACAAACAAAATCTTTCTAAGTGTACGCTATTCTCTAATTCCACATGACACAACAAAAACCAATAGCGGATAAAGCAATGCGATAATCACGAGAATGAAAAATGGGGAGATTTTCCAGCAATCACCAACCAGAATCAATGAAAAAGAGAGAAAAATCGAGAGATGACTTACGGTAGATTCGCCACAGAGCCGGAGAGAGCCTAAATGCCTGCGCTTCTGCAAATGGGTGAACACCGCTGAACAAATTGAAACCCTATAATTCCACGGCAGAAGAAGAAGAACGACCGTTAGAGAAAATGACCGCCAAGACAAGATAATGATCAAAACCCACCGCGCAAAATTGAAAATTTCTGCTAATTTCCCACTCAAATCAGACGGAAAACACCCATTCTTGTAAATTCAGATTCGATACTGTAATTTCTACCGAGGAGATGAACGTAAAAAAGTAAGAACGAAAACAGAAGAAATGGAGCGAAGAGAGACGCGAAATGTCTACAAAATTCTAACGAAGATGAACAGATAAACCGGACATTGGGAATTTTCTATCCGACGAAAATTTTTTTATTAGGGAATTTAGGAGGAAGATGAGGCCATTTCTAGGGTTCCCTCGGTGTCGGGTGCTCGATAATCGAAATCCGTGAAGGACTTGAAGGATTGTAAGCGAAATACGACCATTTTCACTGAAATACCGAAGCTACCCTTGTTTGACGCACACTTGGCAAGCGACTAGCTCCCTTACGGCGTCGTTTAACGGAAGATACTAAACCCCTTTTTCCTTCAAACGCTGCGGTTTGGCGTCCAGAAAATAAACCGAGCCCCCATATTCCATATAAATATCGAAGAACACCCAATACTTTTTCGAAATTACGGTTCCCCCCCCCCCACGAGCAAAGAGCCTTTCTACTTATCAAATGTCGTATATAACCTTTTTTTTTATATAATATATAACCTTTTTTATTAAAATGTTTTCACTAGGCCTTTTTCTGAACCAATTAAATTTTAATTTCGTTAAATTTGTTTGATATTTTATTTAAAAATATATCCCAAACCCATCATCTGTCCTTTCTGTGAATAGATTTGGTATTCGAGTTGAAAAAAAATTGGATTCTTTTGCATAAACAAATTAAAGATATCGAAATACTCCGAATAATTTATATTCATATCAATTATTGCCAGATACTATATGACTACCACGGTACCACCAATACATGCGCATGTCCGTGTATACCACGCGCCACCGAAGCGCGTGGGAAATAGCCAGAGCGGCGCACCGTGTCTCCTACCAGCTGACCCAGCGAACCTTAAGAAATGAAACAGCTCAGAGACACACACATACATCTCCAATCAAAGAGACAACCCCACATACCAACACCGTCGGATCTCTGCCACGTGTACAGATGGAACGGCTAGATATCGATCTCTCCCTTCAAACGTGTGAAGCTGTTCGTGTGAACGTTCTATATAAAATGTTGGTCCACTATATATAGTTTATTTTAGAAATTGTTGTGAAATTATTTACTTAATTTGATTATTGCTCGTTATAGTGAACCGACGACAGGCGTTTCACGACAAAAGATAATGGATTGACGATAAATATATAAATATTCAAATATTTGTGTAACGGCAAATTGGTGTCTCTCACCATCACCTTCTTCGAGTCTTCTTGGGAATGAACAAGGGAATTTAATAACTTATAAAACTGATTTTCCATGATTTTATAATTTTTTGAAACAATTGAATGGTATGGTATTAATTAGCGTCGATAGACTTTTCCTTTTATATATATTATATAATATTACATGCAAAACCTAGTTGAAAATGTAACCATCATATGAATTATAAGTTAATTATATAATATTACGAAATCGGTCCGTAGTGTATATACGTTACTTCAATCTTAAGGTCCTTCCGCGATATAACAAAGACTTACCCACTAAGCTCATAAAAAGAAAGTTTTTTTTCCATATTTTTTTTGTTAGAAAAAGCCCCACAATAATGTACTTCAATAATATATATATATAATGTACTTCAATAATATATATATATATATATATTTTAATCAATGAGACAACATGCCTATATAAGTAGATGGAGACAATCCACTCCTTGCAAACAACCCAGAGCTAAGCAAAGACAGCATACACAATAAGCACTTACAGAGAGAGAGAGAGAGAGAGAGAGAGAGAGAGAGAGAGAGAGAGAGAGAGATTATCCTCATTGTATAACACATATACACACTGTGTGGAAAATAAAAAAGGATTCAGGAATGGGGTTTGGAGGAACAATGGAGTATTTGTCAGAGCTGATAAATGGAGGAAGGCATAAACATGGCAAGAAGAAGAAGAAGCAGTTTCAGACAGTGGAGCTCAAGGTTCGAATGGACTGTGACGGCTGTGTCCTCAAAGTCAAGAACGCCCTCTCCTCTTTAAGTGGTAACATATCATCTTCGTGTGTATATATATATATATGTATATAACATGCAAAAAACGGGCATACGATCTTATTTTATAATCTTTTTATATGTTTGATAAAGGAGTGAAAACGGTGGAGATAAACAGGAAGCAGCACAAGGTGACGGTGACGGGTTACGTGGATGCCAGCAAGGTGTTGAAGAAGGCGAAGGGGACTGGGAAGAAGGCCGAGATATGGCCGTACGTCCCGTACAACCTGGTGGCTCGACCGTACGTAGCCGGCGCTTACGACAAGAAGGCGCCTCCGGGCTATGTCAGAAGAGTTGACCCCCCTGTCTCGACAGGGACAATGACCATTCACCACGACGATGACCCTTCTTATGTCTCTCTGTTCAGCGATGATAACCCTAATGCATGCTCTATTATGTAACCATATATTTCTATATAGGATTCAGGAATTACATACATATGTCTTTTTCTTTTGGTTGAATATAATAAATATAGTTTGCTAAATTCGATCTGATTATTGATAGATATTATGGCTAATCCAATAACTTAAGCCATAAGGAACAGAATCTTGAGTTGGGACTGGATTTGCTTCAATCTGGTAAAAACGCAAGCTTTTATTACACAACAGTTGGACTTAAAGATCAATTCTTCATCATTACAGTATTATCTCCATATATACACCATAAATGCATAACCTATGAATCATTACAGTGTTATCACCATGATCTGTTCTTCAGATACTCGATCTTTGAAGCAGTTTCACTGGAACCCAGAAGCAGTTTCCTCCTGAAAACTATAAAATGAAGTTTTTTTTTTTTTTTCAAACTGAACTGATAATATGAGGTTCGGCTAGTGTTGATGCAAGCAAAATACCAACCCACAGGACAGGATGATGCAAAACCATACTGAGATGATTCTTGATTATGTCAGAGATACTCTGATGACAAGCACGTCGTTGTTTCTTCCTGTTTCTGTACATATTGCCATCACTTACTATGAAGGAATCTGACCTAACATGCGGTTATACATGTAAAGCTAATACTTCTGAATCATCTCACCGTGTGAAATACATGATTTCACAAGTGATAAAGGAGGAAAACCACTCAAAGATCTTATAATAACACTATATGCATGTAGCTTCTGCGTAGTTTAGACAGATTATGCGTATTTTGATTGTTGGGCACTCAACCAGTGGATAATCAGGCATTCATCCAACAATTTTGAAGTAAACCAAGTGAACAGAGAAGCACCCAGTTCACGAATAAGCATGAAATCTTATTTCTTTTAGAGATACGGATGTTTCATTAGGCAAAATATCAAGAAAATGTCGATTCAAGATGGTCAGCTGATTCACCTGATATACATATGGTGATCTCCTTTGCTGAATGAAGTTGGTGACCGATTTCATCTTGTATTGCTTCCAGCATATATTTCAACAAATTTGATATCATAGAGCAGAGTTGCATTCGCAGGTATGTTACAGTCACCTGCATAAAAAAAAAACAATTTGACAGACAATCAATCGAAAAGTTCAAGATTGTTTAACCAGGAAAGAAGTGTTTAGAATCAACAATTATATATTGCCATGAGCACAGAGCAAGAAGAGCGCCACAAGTGAAGAGATCAAAGGAGTTATGGAAACTAACCCGAAAAGCATCCAGCAGGCTCTGGTCCATACGCTAGATGAGGCGGAATTTGAAGCTTCCGTTTTCCACCTGTACGCACACACACGTGCGGTCATGTCGATATTTCCAGCCTGATAAACGTGGTGGATGGAAAAAGATGTCCACAAAAGAAAATTACGGTAAATAGATACAAAAACTTGCCTATCCGCATTGGGGGTACTCCTTCACCCCCAAGAATCCCCTGGTCCAAACCCCTAATAACCTGATCATCTTGAAGAACAAGAGTAAGAGGCATGTCTTTTGTGGGAATTTGAAGTTTTTCTTGCTTACTCCTAATGGAACGCAAAGAATTTTACTACATTGAATATGTCAGGTCATAACCAGCACCTAAAGGTCAAAACTTTCAGCTTCATCATTTGATTCACAAGACAACCCCTCTCCCACGAGTTCATCTCTCCACAGAATTGCAGAGGCAATGACAACTTTGAGTAGTTCAACCGAGGATACTAAGGAAATTGAGAAGTAATTTCAGGCTAACAAACTAGTTTGTATGTTCTAAATCACCGTTTTCTCGTCACATAAAAGCTTTTTACCCAAGAAACAAATCAGTTCATCGGCTTAGCAATCCACCTAAATCTCTGAATCCAACACACCACAGCACATTTACTGGATCCATGCCCAACTTTCTTTAACATAAGTATCAGTTTCTTCTAAACATGAAAAGACAATAACCCAGAAAGCATTGCAAGACAATGTTCCATCCACATCAAGATGCATATACAGATACAGAACATGGAAAAGATCATAGTGAAGCACATCGCTTTAATACCTTGCCGACTCCAATACGCATAGTAAGGGGTCTAGCACGTTTATAGCTACTGTCAAACAATGTCCCATCTGCAAACCTTGCTGTGTAATGAACCTGTCCACCCAAAATTTCCCAAATGTACAATAAGAATCCACAAGTCGAACACTTCACACAATCACCACACAGAGCAAACATATTATAGAAATGGGCATATGGAAATATGAAGGATTTCAGTCAAACTCGGCTCGAAAAACGGATGAAATGGGTGGGGATACGATCAAAGTGAAACCCTGAATAGCAAAATTTAGTGAAATTTGACAAAAGGGTATTCAGGGAAGATACATTGATGAGTTGTCCACGCGGAGCCTCGTCGCCGGAGCCGACGGAGATGTCGCAGAAGCCGAGGCCGGATCGAGCGTAGCTGTACTCGCAGAGAGGGTCTCCGGTGGTGGCGTAGTACTCGATTCGAGTCGCGTCCGCGTCGAGCGGCGTCAGAGCGAGAATCGAAGCGGCAAGAAAGGAAATGCCCATGCTGGAAACGCGTTTCTTAGCGGCTGGGATCGCGAATTTCGGCGAGCAATTGGAGGAAGAAGAACAGAGACATGAGAGTGACGTGGAAGGAGAAGAAGAAGAAGAGGGTCTAGAGGGAGTGATGGGTCGGTCGGTGCGTATATTAGGAGATGATGATGATGATGTAAGGGTTAAAGCAGAAATCGCCATTGTTGCGCTCTTCCCTTATCTGATTACCGGAGCTATGTGAAGGGAACTCCTGCTTTCCATTACGGATAATGGAGGGAGACCTACCAGCCACCAGTTGTTATCGTTGTTCATAAAAAAAATCGAATAAAAAACCCTAAATTTGAAAAATTAATAACGTTCTAAAAACTTTATCCAAAATTTGTTCAGTGTTTTTTTTGGGATTTACCCAAAAAACTTTATCCAAAAATATTTAAATCTCTAAATTAATATATATATACACACACACACACAATCGAAACACACAACTATAACTTTCACTTGTCGAAATTTCTTCCTTTTCGGATAGGATGAAGTCGCACCAAATTGAATTGAATGCTAAATTTAATTCCATTGTTATACACCACTTGAATTAATAATTTCTTTGTAATGTTTATAAGATTTTAACTAAAATTATTACGTGCCCCCATGATAAATTATTTTTATTATACAATACAATTAAGTTTGCCCTCATTTACAATATTTTCTAGGTCCGTTACTTGAGCATTGGGCCAATACTCATTTTTCATTTGATACAACGGGCTTTAGAAAATTGGGCTCACTCTCAAATATATTACATTAGATTCATTGTTATTTAAATTACAGGCCCAGTATATAATAAAACATGAAATAATAAAAAAAAATTATAACCCACGATGGCAAGGACAAATAAAATAATAAATGCAAAAACATACATAATGGGATGAGATTTTTTTAAAAAAAGGCTCAATATCTTAGGATATACTTATAGACTCGAGGAATTAGCACGTGTTTTGGTTCTATCACTTCCTCAACAGTTGGCACTTGGCAGTATCATTATATTAAACATCTCCTCTGTATTTTGCTAAATTCCATATATATTTACGTAAATGTAAAATACAACTACTTTCCTTAATCATGCCCATTCAAAGACGTACCATATTATATATATTTTTTATAATCGGGTGTTCTGAATCGAAATTTAAACTAATTTCAGAGTTGAAAATAAATTATGTGATTAGAATTACGTTTTACTTTCTAACTTAAACTCAAATTCGAGACGGGACAGATACTTTGCATCCCATTTTACCGGTTGAGTTACTTAAATTGGTATATGATAGCATTATACGTACATCATACTATACGAATGTGTGAATTTCCATGCGAAAAAGTTTTTTCTCCAAGGGGCAGGCATCCGATAATTCATTACAAAGAGTGAAGGACGTAGAGATGTGAATAAGGAAATTTATAAAGCGGTCCACTTATTTTTGCAGGACAATGTGGACCGCATTCAAATTCTAGGACAATATATTATTCTCGATTTCAATGGTGTCCATGGCTTAGCCATCATTGATATTCACCTTTTTTTTTATATAAAGCTAATTAACTAGCTCAGCATCTCTTATATGATATGCAATTTTCACTTTTCAGTGGTCATATCACAAAATTGAAAATAAAATTAAATGAGCACGAATTATGGATCTCATTAATAATGCCCAATGTAATAAGAAAGAAAATAATCGTATACATATAACCATTCATCTACCAACTTTCGTAATGTATACAATTTCACATCCCTCTCTTGTTTTGTTTATTTAAATTGTTTTTTGTACTCTCTCATGCAAAAGTCCACGCATGAGAAATCCCATCTTTCTCTGTTCCTTTTTTTTGTTATGAATAAAACAAATTTTCTCTATTGTCGAATATATAAATGCTTAATCCAAACCCATCGTCCGTTTATTTTTATTTTTTACCATTTTTTTATTTTTTGGAATTTGTCAGAGGATTCTTGAGCAAATTGAGATGGGCAATCCCTCGTTTGCTCCAAATAATGAGAGCATCTGAGTCACATGGATCCACATGTGACCAAAGACTTTGGAACGTCTCACCAATGAACAGTACACATACATATGTACACACGCGCGTACACAGATATTGTGTCCGAATTGTATATAGGCAAGTGCTCGCGTGTCCGAAAGTTGAGGAAACACGTGTCGCAAAAGCATTCAAGCAATACCTGAAATAATGGGAACTATTCCCTGGTCTTTTACTATCCAATTATATGATGAATGCATGAACAGAAGAGAAAAGAAGGCTATATGATAATCAAATTTGGTGGACTGACTGATTCTATTATTTACCCACCAGTACCTAGGTTTTAATATAATATAATCCAAGAGTTCAATAATACAAGCTAGGAGATGCAGCCTTTGTTACCCACATGGAGGGCTTAATTAATGAGAAATTTCCATTAATTAAATGAACTCAAATTTCAGATTTGGACGTTATGAATCTTGATTGGTTCCGAGGTTCTTGGGTTGGTCGGAACACGCATAAACAACGCAAACATAATTGAAGCAAGTCCGAACACGTATCTTATAGAGTTTATTAGGCATTGGATTCGAGTTCCATTTTGTCTTTTTTTATTTAGTTTTTCTAATATTAAATCATCGGTTCATGCATGCATGCATGGTCCGAAATTAAATGCTAATAATGCAAACGTAAGTCGGTCGAAAGGGTGTCTTTACATTTACTTTACATTCGATATATGTTTGGTAAGTAATCTTGATTGGCTCCAATAAGCAAATATTTAGGGTTGGCTTTCATCAAAAAAAAAATATTTAGGGTTGGCCAAAAAAAAAACATTTAAAGGTACGGTGATTAATTCACAATATAATATTTGTATTTTTTTATTTAGATCATTTATAGATACATTTTAAATGTGAATATAGTTATATGTTATTCATTTCTATTTAATTTAATCTCGTTGGCCAGTAATTGGGGCGGGGGAGTGAAATTTAAAAGAAAAAGTGCGAGAAAACGAATTAAAGAGCAATTCACCTTTACAATGTTTTGTTTTGTTCGTACTCGCTTCTTTTTTTGGTGGATTACAACTCTTCACTCTCTCATCTTGGTTGTTCAGATTCTCCTGTTAATTATATAATATTACTAAAGTGACATATATATTTAATTAATAATATTATTCACTTTAATTGAAAACCCTAACCAAAAAAAAAGTTGTACCAACTGTTGTTCTATTAGATTCCAACACGAGAGACAATGATGGAGAACAAAACAAATATATTCTCATGTGTATATAGTCATGATCAATTTCCATATCATGTCTATGTTAAGGCCGAAAGACTATTTAAACATGAACAAAATTATATTTAATTATTTAAGATTGGTTGGTTGAATTAATAAGGAATAGGACAAAACTCATTTTCAATCCGGATTCGTGTCTGTATTTGAGGAGAAGTATTCACTTAAATTTTTCCAATCATCTGGAAAATATAATTGGATAAAAAATACTGTTAATTTTCGAATTATAAAAAAAAAAAATACTCAGCGTTCACGAAAATCACGCCTAGCTCTAGGGTTACGTTTGTGTTATTCATGTACTGCAACATAAAGTCTGATGATTTCGATTATAACAAAATCCCAAAAAGAAAAACATATATAGGCTACCGAAAGGCAATTGAATTATTAAGATCCTGTGGTTAGACGTGTCGAAAATGGTAAATATAAATAATAGATATTGGCAGGATTTTTTACGATTTCTACGACCAATGACATTGAAATTTCCTTGTTTCAAGAACTTGGGAATACCCCCAAAACTTAGGCTATGTAAAAACATATAGTCAAATCATATAACTTGCCATTTAAAATATCTCTAACATAAACTAATACCCACTTGCATATACCCACTTGCATGTTCACATTTTCGTGTGCATTTAAAATATCTCTAATAACTTGCCATTTAAAATATCTCTAACATAAACATATAGTCAAATCTTTTTAATGATCTCCTTGTGGCATGTCGGAGAAATGGGCGTATTAACATCTGCGGTTCGTTGGAAAGTAGACAACTAATAACGTGCCCTAACAATCAAACTAATCAAATCATTAACAAAGTATTTTTTTCCCTCAATAATTGCGACTTATGGGTGACAAATTTGACTCTGTGGCGGCTAATACCAAATAGTCAATCAAGTTGGTCCATTCTACATGCATGCTAATTGAATAGATTTTTTTTTATTGTCCATGTTTTTCTTAATTTACAACTAATCCATAACGTATTCGAAAATTAGATCTATTACATTTATCATTATAAATCATAACATCCAACAAGTTACAAAATCAAGATAATTCACCACCAATCAGTTATTCCGGGATCGCTACTGCTGATATATATTATATATATATATATATTGGGATTATTTAATATAGAGGAAAAAGGCATCTTCTTGTACTCTTTTATTTTATAAGTGAAATATCGAATTGTTCACATGGGGCCGAGTTCCGACAAAAGGCAAAGTTAAATAATCAGCGTTTACTACGGTTTTAATTTCGGTCTATTTGGTTATGCAGACATGTAATGTAACCATGGACCTGGTGACAGTTAAGACTTTGACCATTAATTAATTTCTATGTATGTTTTCTCAGCTTAATTAGCGGTTAAATTGGAGCTTTAATATAACAAAAAGACTATACAATGTGCTGATTAGCCTATACCACATTCTGTATATACATATTAGATTTATTGTGCTCAAAAAATATTTCGTAGATTGCATACAAGGCAACGGATTGTTCCACATTATACATGAAATTTATTTAATTTGTATTTGCTACGTTAGCTACAACTATTTGAGATACGTTCCACGTTAAAACACACGATCAAAAGTAGTATTTTATTTGTTAACCAATTCTATATACACAATACACAAACTATCATATACACAAAATGAATCAAATGTACAAAACTTGGAGAATATATTAGCTCTTACCACAACAGTTAGAACTTTTTTTTTTTATAATCTGAAAGTTCACTGGATCTTTAGTCCGACTATATCTCCCACAGAACCGAAAAAATCCAGGTGAATAACTCTCCCCACGCTTGGGTTTGAACCAGGGTCAGAACATGCTCTCACCACTGGGCCACCCAAACTTGGGTATATCAGTACACATAAACATAGACATATATATACATACATACATATGTGTGTGAAGTTGTATTGTCAGACAGATTCCCTTTCGATGCTTATTTTTTTCCTTGGGATACCTAATAGTAGAAAGACAATGCCAAGAAAGATTCCATCGAACATATATATATATATATATATATATTGCAACAAATGCAGCATTGGTGATGGTGTTCATAGCCATTGCGTTTTCTGTAATTATTAATGTAAATGTGCCTAATTAAATACCGCTAATACCATGTAATAACAAAGCTAATAATGTCACTGCCAATACAACTTTGAAAATTGTACAACTAATTTTGAATATTCAATGTCACTCCAATTCTCTAGAAATATGTTTTTTTTAATACAAGTTTGCAAAATTTGCAATTAATTTATCTTTTATATATATATATATATATTGCATTACTCGTTAGTGATATTCTAGCAGCTCATCATCGAGGATGTACACTTCACATCGTGATTAACTGCTTAATTAATTAGTTAATTAAACAATGATTAAGATTAGATGTCACTTTTTAAGTTCGTGGATTCTGTACTTGCACTGATGCATGAGTATCTCTTATTGATAAAATATGATAATACATACATACATATATACAAATTATATACATGGTAAACTTAATATATATATATATATATATATATATATATATATATAATTAAGCATCTAATAATTAAGTTATGTTGTATTGAAATTCGAAAGCATTGGTTATTGAGTTTAAAATAAACCCCGATCATCTGTTGGCTCTGTTTGATGGCCTCCAACGCATGTTTTTTTTTTTTTGATAACCGGTTAATCCTAGGTTCAAAGGCCCAGACTAATCTCGACCCACACGCACAACCGGTACCACACGTGTGGGATGTGAGACACCCGAAGGTGATCGGAGGGGAAATCTCCATACTCTGGGTGTTGAACCCACGAGCTCTTGTTCAGGAAGTGGACTCTCAAACCAACTGAGTTGGGGGAGATCCCCCTCCAACGCATGTTATCTTCTCGCCGAATATTCCATCGGTTTTTTTTTTGTTAGAGAAAAGGAAGCGAATCTGAGTTGAGTGTATGTATTTGTGTGTGTATATACACACACACACCGTATTTTGTATATGTTTCGTATGTAGAAACAAGACAGACCTCGAGACTTTTGTCAGTCCGACATATATACATATTAAATTAAACCCACATGATACTTGTAGTTTGGTAACAGAGAGATACAAAATGCCCATCGATGGACAGAGATATACGTTATAACGTGTGTGTGTGTATATATATATAGCTTTCCTTGAAATAAGATTTCATGATTATGTACATATTTATGCAGACAAGCATAAAATTCTTATGTAGAAATAAGGACTCAAATCACGAGTTCAATTTGATTTTCTCCCTAGTTTGTTACACTTTCTTTACATTTTCTTTTTTCACAATCACGTTCGAATCTATATAAGCACTCAGATAAGAGTCTCTTGTACGGACAGCAGTCTTCATGCCCCGCATCTCAGTTGATTCCATTCTACTAAGCGTTGCAAAAAATCCATAACCTGTTACAGAATAAAAGAATATATACAAGTTTATCAACTTGATAACATTATATATCTTCGCACTATATTGTACATGTCTATGACATATATATACGTTCATGTGTGTGTGTGTGTATATATATGGAAAGAGAGAGAGAGAGAGAGAGATTGCCTCATCGGGTTCTTGCAGAGAATAAGCAGCATTGGTCTCCTTTGGAAATTTGGAGACAAGAATGCCAAGACCTAGCCCTTTTTCTCTCAATACCTGCAACATCGATCATAACGCACACACATATATAGATTTATTGATATAAACATATATGCTGTAATGTATTCATGATTATATGTAGAGATATATGGTATATGGAATTATACCCTAAATGCATCTTCGTCCGTACGGTCATCTCCAATATAGAGGGGGAAAACGTCTGCACAGTTGGCAAATCCTGCGTATAATCCAATTCAAACTATTCAACATAAAGTGAAAATAATCATATCAAACACTGTTACGTGTTCTCTCATTAAATAAATATATTTTTTTGCATAGTTTTATACCGAGTGACTCCAACAGGAACTCCAGCGCTTTGCCTTTGTCCCATTTGATGATTGGACGAATCTCCAATACCTGTTTTAAAACCCCAATAATTAATAAACTTAAACATTAATTAATTAATTAAATGCATGATTGATTAACTAATCATTAAAACCAAAATTACTCTAAGCTTTTAATTAATTAGATATATCTCCTAACCTTTCTCCCTTGAGTGAGCCGGAGCTTAGGGTAGTCCTTCAAGACTGACCGGACTTGCTGAGCCAACTCATTCCACATCTGTAAATCGCATAATCTAAATGGTTATATATATACATATTAACGTGTATATGTATATATATATATATATGTGTGTGTGAATTAACAAAATATAATAGAAGATATAATCATACATTTTCGTCGACGCATCGGAAGTGCACAGAGACGCAGAATTTGTTGTTCTCGACCTTGGATCCGGGAGTCGATTTCGTTTTCTCGACCAATTGTTTGTAAACCTGAAAACAAAAAGGATGAATTATTTTTTAGCTTATAGTGACACTTAATTCAAAAATATATGCCATTACCAAAATCATTGGAAAAAATGGATATATTAAAAGATTGAACATTAACCTCGTCGATCATCGGGAGGAACTCGGTTGCGGGTTGGCAGAGAAGGGATTCATTGTTCATGCATTCGGATTCTTTCTCTGGCCCTTTGATGTCCATGCCGTGACTTCCGGCGTAGTACAACTCGGTCAATTTCACAAAATTATAAACCTGCGGATTTAGTTTCAGATTGGATTAAACAGATTATATATATAGATTTAAGTATATAACAATTAATCGAAATTAATATTATATTAACAGTGAGTAAATGTACCTTCTCCCTGCATCTACCGCTCACTATGGCCGTAGGAAAGCATTTCGCAAGATTCCTCACCGTTCTTCTCATCTGAAAAAAAAAAAAACATTTTCGGACAAAAGCTCGTTATATTTCAGAAAAAAAAAAAGAATATTTAAGAAGAAAAAGAAAGAGATGAAGAAGTTGACCTTCTTGGACATGAAAGCTCGATCAGGATCATCGACAATGGGAGACAGAGTTCCGTCGTAATCAAGAAACATCACGATCTGCTTTCCGTCCGAAGCTTGGATTATCTCTTCAAACGTGTCCAAAGCTGATGGATGTTCTGTCTGCAATTCATTCCCAATTTTTTTTTTCTCTCTTTTAACACAAACCCAGATTTTTTTTTTTAAATGGAAGATAGAATTCAACAAGTATATATATATATATATATATATATATGTGTGTGCGTGTGTGTATAGTACCATCCAAGAACACTGCTTTGCAAAGGATTTGAGATGGGTTGGAGAAGAATCTCTCATGGAACCGACCCAAGAACTGATTAAACCTCCGCAGTTGATCTGGAGATCTTGAAGAATCTCCTTATCCGTTATAAGTCCCTTCTTCCCCACCACCAATTTGCCATTGTCTTCGATAAATCTCACTACCAAAGGAATAGAGAGAAGAATCAGGGAAGAATTAATATATATAAACAGTTGAAACCTGAGGATCGACGTGGACATGGCGATGAACACATTTTAATCGAAAAGACACTACTCACCCATTTCAGGGAACAAAGACAGAGCAGAGAAGAGAGAGAACAGTTCTGTTTCTAAGATTGAAGAGAGAGAGAGAGGATGATCTGTGTTGGAGAGACAGGGGTCGAGGTTGGTCCGAATTTATAGCTGCAAAATGACCTTTTTTTTTACCCCCGAATTCAAAAAAAAAAAATTGAAAACCCAGATACTGTGGGTTGTTTTTGGGAGACGTGGGACCCAGAAAGGGTCCTACATGTGGGTCCCGCTTCAGATCGGAGAGGCTCCTCAGGAATTGCCACGTAGCTTCCTCCCCCACTTTTCAGCCATGCTGCAGCTGTATAAAATTATTATTATTTTTTGTCAGCAATAATTTCTTTAAAACCTCTTGATTTCTTTATTTTAATTATATTTTTGGTGATGCCGACTCGAACTGTGTTTGTGGAAAACACTTTATTTCAATTATCTTGCTCGAGAGGTTGACAAAAAAACTATAATACGAATTTATTTTCTCCAAATACATATACACACAGATATAAATTTACAATTTTTCTCTCTGTTAACTTGTCTGTGTAACATGGCAAATTGTATAGAATTACACATGCATGTGGTAGAAAAGAACACCGTCAACATCTATAATGTATGGTAATTCTCAAAGCTTACCAACCGTAAAACGATATAAGCATCAGCCAATCATAATTCATAATAAGCATTTTTGGATAATACGACAAAAGGAATCTTAGAACTACATCGAAGCCAGGCAAGAACACAACTCATTGAACACATGTTCCAGTTTATTATGTGCCGCGTTGCCAAGTCGTTCACCATTGCAGTTGTAGCCGCCACGTGGCTGATATATGCATGTATCCAATCGTGTAGTTCACATTTTTTATTTTTAGTGTAATTCGGTTTTTTATAATGTATATAATTCATGAATGCTTATAGCGTTGGTATTTATTGGGTACCAGAAGAAGAAGAAAGATACGTAGGGGGCATTTGTTATAAGAGTATTTGTGCATGACTTTGAATACAATATATACCATATGACATAGTATTTGAAATATTTTGACGATCCAACATTTTAGTTACATTTTTATTAAATGTCTGAGGAGAAGTTTATTTAGTTATAGGATAGAATTATACGAGGTATAGCTTCAGGTGCATGCACGCACTAACATATATGAGAATATTTTCTTTAAGAGTTCTAGAGAATATGAATAGATTTCTCAAAAGAAAGAGAAGAGAATTTAATTGACCGATGGAATCGCAATAATGTTATAAGCTATTGGCGGGTTCGGATCTCGAATTAAATAAGCTCTATATCATATATTTTTATTACTACTGTATGCTACGTACGAAATATTATTAATACTGTTATTATGTGATATTTAGTTTTTTAATTTTTTTTTATAACGGAAGACCCCTAGTTATTATGACTAGGTAAACCCCGTGTGCAACCTTTGTATATGGATCATATAAATCCAGAAATTACCTCTCTCCCCACCGGTCAGGAATCGAACACTCAACCTCAATGTGTTACCTCCTATCCCAATTTTGACCACTCGTCCACGATCTGTTGGGTTTTATTTTCTTAATTTGATCGTAGCACTTTTTTCGTTCTTATTTCGTGTGGTATTTATATGTTTCTTCACAACAACCAAACTTTATACAATATCGCAAATTCCGAAGAATATAGCACGTTTATAAATGAATTTTTATTATTGTATAAAAACACACAAATTTTGATTTTTTTTGGTATAAATCCACACAAGTTTATATAAAAATATACAAATTTTGAATTTTTTTGCATACAACCATACAAAAACCAATTGAGTTTAATGTTTTTATTGATTTACATGAAAAATCTTAAAGTTCATGTATTTTAATAGAAAATTAGAAATTTATATATTTATTTACTAAATTTATAAATTTTATATTTTTTTGGTGACATATGTATGAATTACGATAAGCATGCATACATGGAATTAATGGCGATCAATTTTTCTTTTAATTAATGATTCGTTTAATCTCTCTCTCTCTCTCTCTCTCTTGTTTGCAAACGTCACCAAACAACAGTAAGCCAGCCCTAATCTAATCAAAATCTTTCCACATGCAGATGCTCTCGTCAAATTAATTACTGGTTTCCTATAATTAAATGATTTCGCCTATTATTAATTATTTCTTTATTAATTCGTGAAAGTATCCGATTCAATATTTTATTCTGTTTTTCAATTGATGCATGTAATGTAAATTGCCCGCCACCCGTATTCCTCGCCCGAAACTCCGCTTCTTTAATTTCTATAATTTGTTTTGCCATTTCGTTTTAATTAGGAATTAAATAAGGTAATTCGGTTTACCAGAAATCATCTATTTTTTAATTTGAGATAGGGTTTTTCTTTTTGCATCTACATTTTTTTATTCTCTTCTAGGTTTCTAGTTTCAAAACATATGAATTCTTCATGAATATGGTGATTCAAATTACGACAATATTGGCATTAACATTAATGAAGTTGATACTTGATATTTTAGTTGTTATATTTGTATGTGTACGGGCTATATGTACATCTTACGGCAAGACTAATACAACCATCATGTGGACCGGATGTTGTCATCGGTACAAATGTGGCATATCCAATGTTCCACCCCATTTGGCTGTTATACATATATATATATATATGACAAAAATAGTTCTAATATTAAAAAAATTTAAAGACGTACGTATGTGCATGTATATGTGTACACATACATGCATGGGTGGACCTACACATATATGAGTGGGGGGCACTTGCCCCATCTACATTTTAAAAAATAATAATAATTCTTATAATTTTTATTTAAATTGTAATAATGCTCCCACTAAAATTTAAGTGGTGCCCCCTCTATTTTTTTACTCTAAATCTTATTTTCAATTTTTTTCTTCTACCAATTTCACATTTTCCTTCATTTTTTAAAATTTTTTCCAACTCCAAAATTCTATTTAATCTTTGATAAAAAAATTATAAATTCATATAATCAAATCCAAAAAACTAAAAAGTAACAAAAAATAGGTAAGTATTATGAATTTTATTTTAAATATTTTTTATGTTTTATTCATTTGTTTTTATATTTTTATCATATTAATAAATTTATTTTTATATAAATCTCATGTTTGATTTAACCAATTGATAAATTTCTCAAAAAAAAGTTATAGGTTAAAAAATTTAATGATCTATTTGACGAGATAAATTCAAAATTGTTCATTTATATAGTAGTTTTGAGTCTTAACATTAATTACGCGAGTTTAACATGTCAAATTTGGTGAAATTGGTTGGATTTTATTCCGATAAATTCAGTTCTTCAGAGTAAATATCTCTTCAACATGAACTCAATATCTACATCAGCAATTTGATGGAAGATGATAAATTTTCAAATTTGACTAATCTTGCAGATCTTATTGGTTGAAACAAATAAATATCTTCTGTATCCATTAGTATACAGACTTTTGAAATTTGCTTTGATTTTGTTCGTTCCGTTGTCATCGCGACTGTTGAGAAATATTTAAACTTTGTAACCACAACTTTGCGCAGTCAGATTGGTGAATAGTTTTTGAGTGATTATCTAATTTTTTTTTATCGAAAAACAGTTATAAAATGAAGTTATGGATAGATTTCAAAAAATCAAAGATTGTAAAATTTATTTATAAAACGAAAAATATTTTTGTGATGATATATTTTTATTAGCTTTTGTATTTTATATAATATTTAAAATTGTTGCCCCCGTTGAAAATTTTTTCTGGATCCGCTACTGCATACATGCATCTTTTTTTTTTTATGAAACATACATGCATCTTGTGTAAGGCTTATTCACATTTCTAATTTCTAATTGGATTAAGAATTAATCCCCCCGCCCCCGAAATTATTTAGAAAACTAGGCCCCTCGACTCTTTTTATATACTCTCCACGTTTCCGACAATTTTTTTTTAATTATTGTCATTGATTATAATTAGAGTCGTACTTAAAGGTTCACATTTGCACTCTAAGACAGTACATCATTCGCTTTTGCCGAGGCATAAATAAGTTTCCGACAATGCATTTGTTCCCTAACGAGCAAAACTGTCTCCACCCACCACGTGGATCCCTAAGAGGCAATATTTCAGTGTAAGGAGAAGGAATTATTGGAATATTTATTGTCATTCATTCTTTGTTGTGAAAACAAAAATATATTTATTCTCGTTTTCGGAACAATAATGGTCCTTCAAAATCTGATTTCGTGTTTCAACTCGCATTATTCACAGACATGATGGCATCCTTATATATGGACCTTATCATCAAACTGTCTTTACATTTGTAGAACGAATCAAATGTCAGATATGCATCTAGATCTTGCGTTATTTTTCTATGCCATTATGCAATACTTCTAAATTGATAAACTGCAGTTATGGAAGTATTTTAAGTAATTTGGTGAAATTGTATCATTTTTCCAGTACAAATATAAAAAAAAATGTGGCAACAAAAAAAAAACATCATAGTACCCCTTTGCGAAACCGAACTCAAAGTAACTGCTAACGGCAACCCGTATCTCCAAACTTTCCGCGGATGGTGGGCCCCAAGAAGACAATCAGGACCAACCAGACCAGACCATGCCACGCCATGGACTCTCGCGGTCCATATCACCTTACGTAACTGCCACGTCATCATTTACGTGACAGTACGTTGATTGAACCATTTCCTGGGCAGTAATGCATAAACAATGTCAATACCCATCAATCTTTCTTTATATGGTGAGCATCTTTGTCGATATGATTGTGTGTATGCGTGTCTACACCATTATAATATGGTGGATGATTTAATTCTTAATGCAAAACCATGTTCGAAACATCGGTTTCGATTACGACCCACCAATAATTGCACATAAAAGAAAAGAAAAGAAAAGAAAGGACCCGACTTTATGTCAAACAATATGGTCCCTAGCTACTAATGAACATGTCAAGAAATTTATGGAATTTGAGGATCGATGATAATTTTGTAAAATTAAATTTATATTTAATTCGTATCTGATAGATTTCAACGAGAGAGGGTTTAGATTTTGTAACTTTCTGTATAAGACGAATGGCAT